CTCTACACCAACGAATTAAATAAGTAACAATGAGGATAAATGAATAATTTTTATAATATGATTTTTGAGAACGCTTAAAATTCGAAAATCTCACACCGCAATTGATTTTGTTGAGTCTCACAGCGGTAATCTAATCCTCAACATTTTTAGGAGTCATTTCGGGGAATTTGGAACATTTTTGGGAATCTCGACGTAATCTATATTCTCGAGAATCTTAACATTTCTCGGGAATCCATCCCTTCCCATCGGGTTCTCGCATACTTCAAATAATCTATTCCTGTGTTTTCGGAAGAAGGCTGAAACAACAGTGAGACCTGATCAGACACTTTGATTTCAGTAAATCTAGTACATTTTGGTAAGGCATTATCGTCATTGTTGTAGTTGAAGACCCGTCTGTGCCGCTCCAGCGTATACGAGATTACGTGGACGCAATGAACTGCAGTACATTATCTAGTTTCTCGCGAGAATGTCTGCTTCAGGGTTTTAACAAAGCAATGGTCGTAGAAGCTAGGGAGAAGTTCAAGATCAACAGGGTATTTATCATATTTGCACAATTGAAAAATTATTGAAACACTTCAACTGTGTCCTAATTTTTAGAAACAAGCTCGCAGGGTGTACGAGCTCTTGAGATTACGCGCGACGGATCTGACGAATGAGCAAGAATATCGGGAATACAGATTGAACATAAAGAAGAGACTGAACATTCCTTACAGGCGGGAACAGAGTGATTTAAGGAAATTGGAATGCGCGTTGAAGAACATCGACAGACGCGTGAACATTGCTTTGCCCACAATGGAACAGCGCATACAGATTCTCGAGAAGGAATACAAAACTTTAGAAGACGAATATAAGAAAGTGATCAAACGTTTAGAAGATGCGGAGGAATTATAAAATTTGACATTTCTTTTTTTTTTCAGTTCTTTTTTATTTTTCATTATCTGTATGAGTCGACTGATGATGCTCGAATACGAATAGTTAGTCAACGATTTTTTTTTATTGGCTCAATAAAGTGATTTTGTATTAAATGATATTTTATATTTGTAAGGAATAGAATAGATAATATTACAAATGTAACAAAATCTTCGATATGTCGCCTATGATGACACAATGTTGATTTTGTTTCATTGAACATATATATGGTAATAATGGAATTGATACACAGATGGTGTCAATACTGTCAATGGTGTGCTCTTGCAAGAATCTAATTCGTATCTCATCTTTGGTTATGTAAACCAGTCGTATAAAAGACTGACTGGAGATACGTATATACATTATTCCTTATCAATAATTCTGGAAAGGAGGCTGTTATCCTAAACAGTAAAAAGAATTTTTTAGTAAAGTTACATCAAATTGATAATGAGTATATACAAAGTGAAGGTAAATCGATGCTTCAAAGGTTGCAAAGATTTCGAATTTCGTAAGGTGCTAGAGAAGTGGTTATCATGTTTTTATCTAATTGACGACTGATGAATATGTATGTACTGATTTGTAGATCGGAATAATTGGTGGTTCGGGTTTAGACGACCCAGAGAAACAAATATTAGATTCTCGAAGTATAACTAAGAAGGAGGACGCTAAAAATGATTTTGGAGTACCATCCAGTGATCTCTTCAATGGGACCCTTAATGGTGTAGACGTGGTATTGTTGTCAAGGTAATAATTTTGATTGATGATCAATGTAACACTAAATAGTTACATGTTGCTGTTTATTTTTTATTTCTTTATGTCTCGAATATTTCTTTATTTAGATATAAAAATAATTTGTTTGATTAAATGTAGGCATGGACAGGGTCATACAATAAGTCCTTCTAATGTAAACTATCGTGCCAATATCGAAGCTTTACGCTTAGCTGGGTGTACTCACATCCTAGCTTCGACGGCATGTGGCTCTTTGGTAGAATCTATTACCAGAGGACAATTGGTCATTCCAGACAGTTTTCTAGATAGGACAGTAAAAAGGAATACAACTTTCTATGATGGGACCTCAAAGAAGTATCCAGGTAAATCCGTATTCAGTTATTGTATATATAACATAAATTCTAGGTGATAAATATTACAGTGTGTGATAAAATGTAATTCTAGGTGTGTGTCATGTTCCAATGGAACCATGCTTCGATCCAACTACCTCCAAGATATTGTACAATGTTGGTCAGGAATTGGGATACGATATAAAAAAAGGTGGAACAGTCGTTAGCATCGAGGGACCTAGATTCTCTTCTAAAGCTGAAAGTAAAGCGATGCGTATATGGGGTGGGGAGCTGATCAATATGACTACATGCCCAGAGGTAACGAATTTCTTCGAGAATAATAATGAATTTCGTTTCGGAGTTATGACTTGAAACAATTTCATGAGCCATCCTTTATCCTATATATTTTTTATGCAACAGGTATATTTAGCGAAGGAAGCGGGACTTCTCTACGCAGCTGTGGCAATGGCAACTGATTACGACTGCTGGAGAGATAGCGATGACAATGTTCATGCTGCTGACGTGATAAAAGTATTTAAAGAAAACGTTATCAAGATAAGAGAGATACTCACAAAAGCAGTTCATATCATTAACGAAAAGAATTGGGATAAGGAGATCGATGCTTTAAAGGTAAGTTAATACTCGAGCTAAGAAGTATAAGTTAATAATGCTACATTATACGTTTTCAGGATTTACTTCGAAGTAGCAATATTTCTTCCTAAATTTTTTATACGTGGATTCACGTATGCTATATTAAGAATTAGTATTAGTTTTTTTATATTCATGACCTTTCAAGACGTTTGTTAACTTTAATAAATACGATATAATGAAAATAAAACGTGGCTTTTATTATTCATTTATATATACAATCAACAAAAGCAAATTGGCTAATTGTAAGTGATAGTTCACATTTAATCCCTATGCAGACTGTGCAGACCGCAATTCATTGATCACGTAATATTGTAAGAATTCATTTATTCATGGAATTAACATACTGTTACCATTCAGCTAAATATTGTCGTTACTATAACAGAAACATTTTTTTTTACAACTGGAACTTTAGTGTGATACAATATAAATATAATGCTTTAATCAATTTTACGATATATAAAATAATACATTTTCCGAATTATCATTATTGTACATATAACATTTTTCTTCTTTGATACATAGAATATTTTCATACTTAACGCACAGGAAAAACCTATTTTCTCTCTCTTATAAAATTCAATCGACGATGATAAAACTTTATTCATTTATCAACAGTTAATCATTGTTACCTGATTGAAATTAGCTGCAATAATTTATATGCACTTTGGAATACAGCTGTGCTGTCAAACGTTGATTGCGATCAATTTTTCCTATCATAGTCGCACAAATCAGAAAAATATTACTATACCTGAAACCCATTTTCTCATTCTTCTCTCGAATGTATATACAGAATAGGATTGGAAAACTATCCCGAACGTTCCGTAGCATATGTTTTTATACAGAAAGTATTTTATAATACACCCTGCTCGCTCAATGGGACGATCCTCTATAATCACTAATCCATCTTTTGTGCAACCTTCAAAGTCGGCACTTAATACTTTAATTAAGAATGAATTAAAATCATGTTTAAATTATACGCTATTAAAACTTGAAACATAATGGTAATATAGTAATAATACTTTAAAATTCCAACTAATGCTTTACAGCTTCGTGATCATTCAATGAACAACACTGATCTGATCAGCATACACGTACTCATGCGATATTCCGCGTTGTTAAAACATTAGTTTTATATATATATATATTCAGTGAAATAAATTTACATTTGAGTAACACTTATTTCATTAGCTGCTGCATAATATATATGCATCATGCAGACAAGCTTCTTTCGATGAACATGGTAAAAGCACTTGGATCGAAACGACTGATTGGTATTATGACACATTCTTTTATAACAAGATGAACTTCTTTCGTTTCTTCTAATATTCACAATTGTCTTCGGTTTATAGGTAAGAGCTCTACATTGTGGAATTTCAATCCTGGCACAGTATTCTCTTTTTTCGTTTTCTCTATAGTGTTATGTAAAATAGGTTGTGCTATATTCAGTTGTTGAACTCTTAATACATGAACATATACAAGTTTTCCCAGGCATATATGCAGAGTTAGTATATACTATCGTTTGATAACAAATCTTTCGTTCCTCAAGCTGTAAGTTAAAAGCAAACAGAGCCGGTATTATGGATCCGATTTGTACTAGTGTCTGTTCAATCAAATATAGCCTGTTCAAAAAAGAAAGGAAAATTTGCAACACATATTCAAATGAGTTTGCTAAAATTTATACAGATGGTTGTACAATCTATTATGCACAGTTTATATTGAGCTAAGATCGGCGTACACACGTTACTCCAGGCATAATGATGTACTATAAAAAATATCATGTTTTGGGAGAGGCAAATATTTGATTTACCCCTGGAAGCGAACCAATGATCATTTATTATTTAAACAACAAATGTTCTAAAGTGAAAAAAACAAAATGCAAAACATTTGATCAACGAAACGGAAGGTATTGGTTTGTGTACGCACCTTTTTTAAATACCTGGAGTTACAGAAGTATGTGTTATGTATACGAAAGAATATTTAAAATATAGGAAAGTAGATTCATCATCAACAATTAAACCTTACTATCGACCATGTCTACGTTGATTTTATAATACACGTAAGGGAAATAATCGTTTTGGCCGAAACCTAATCCTGGTATATCCACAGCCTGAAGAAACGAAACCAATAGAGATTTTGTAAAACCGTCGGAAAATAATCAGCTAATGAAACGACGAAACTTACGTCTTGGTTTGCGGAAGAAGATGCCGTTGCGGAGGAATCTAAATGAGCGTACAGTTGATTAAGAACATCGCGTAATCGCCTTGCGCATTTTTTGTGGGGATGCAACAGAATCGCTTGGAAATTCACAGGTAACCCGTACCTAATTAATTACGCATACAATTAACACACGTTGCATATTTCTTTAGTATTAAACGACTTTTCTATTCGCTACCTTAGAACAGATTCTACGAATACGCGCAGAGCTTTGACATGAATCCATGCGCAGAAACATTCACTGAAGTTAACTTTCAACCAACGTACGAGGGGACCGAACTGTTTCTTCTTGTCGGTCACCAATTTCGTTATCTCATTCTTCCCTGTAATAAATTTTTAATTCAGCTCATGAACAAGAGCAATACTAATTTCTGAAACAAAAACAGAACGTTTTATATTTTACGTACCTGCTGCTAGCTCCTCTTCGTTGTACGTAAAATCACGAACGATGAATTTCTTCTCGCGAGCGTGCAGCTTAAATTCTTCGATCACTTTTTTGAATAAGGTGACGGTGAACAGTCCGTACTCGTTATCCTGAATAATAAGCTGTGTGCTACGCGGTACTATCATATCAGTTAATTTCTCATATCCGCTGTGCCAATCCTGGTAACTTGCCCTAAAACGTTAACAGATATTTTCTCTCACTCGGTATTCACAAACGTGGCCACAAAAAACAGAGTATAAAGTTCTCGGAGGATTTACCTTGGCACAATTACAAGCAACGTAGTTAAATACTCGCTATCCAAGATAAAGTGCTCCTTCTTTACTAGATCTGCTAAATTTCTTGTTAATAAGCTTCCACTATAACAATTATCTTAGTATTATTATTAATTATCTGAATAATTTAATAACGATCAGGAAAGTACAAAGTGTTTCATGTTTGAGGATGTATTGGCTATACAGTCAATCCCAAAAGTTTATGCACTTTAGAGACGCATTTTTTAAAAAGAAATCAGACGT